TGGACAAGGTGATGAGTGATGGAACATCGTTTATGACAGATCCGGCGACGGAGAAAATCGGCACGCAGGCCAGATTCCTCATCCTGTTCGCGGATCGGGAGCACGTGGGCGGCGGCGCTGGCAGGTTCTCGTTGCTGGAGGGCAGGAGCCCCGAGCTGAAACGTGCTGCGAGGAGCTCTTACGCGGCGGAAATGATTTCCGTGGGTGGCGCTGTCGACGTGGCCCAAGGGATCCGTGACCAGATTGCGGAGATGTTGCATGGCCCCTGTGGCAAGGGGCGCCGGCGTGAAGTTGTCGGGTTGTGGCGGACTCGAAGGGTGGACATGATCGGCTCACATCGGACGCAGGAGTGGGCAGCTCTGCGCAGAAGTCAGTCAACCTGGAGTTGGCCAGCATAAGGGAGATTCTCGACAGGCCGCAGACGATGGTGCGCTGGACGGATGGCACCAACATGCTGAGTGATGTGCTGACCAATGATATGCCGGCCGACCATCTTCGAGAAGCTCTAGCACGTGGGACCTGGAGTGTCGAGTTTCGTGAGGAGATAATGAAGACGGCGCGGCGTGGCTCGAGAGCGCTGGGTGTCACGAGTGAGGAAGATGTCGAAAGGTGGAGAGTTCATGCCGAGTGCGCTTGCACCGTAGGCAGATTAGATAATCTCGTTTGTCCTCCTCCCCTCCGAAACATCCCGTGCCGCAGCTCATCCCAGTTTGCACGCTCGAGTGCAGTGCTGTGTGTTAATTATTTATGCCTCTCTTTTCATCCTCGGTGTGCGAAATCCGATTGGGCGCGACGGCCCACCTACATGACCAGAGGCTCTGAGATGGAGTTTCGCTGCAGTTGAATTTCTGGAGTTCTCTGAGGAGTGTTCTAGGCGAGGTTCTCATCTCATGTTTTAGATTTCACTCTCGTGGATCGCGACCAAGAGACTTAGCTTTCTGGGAAACTGTTTTTAGGTGAGTTTGCCTATTGCAGGTCGGCTTCTCATTCTTGGCTGAAAGCGGGCTCGAGTCTGCAATGATTTAGGATCCGCGTTGAAAAAACGCGGCCCCCAGGCCCGGACTCGCACCCTGCTCTTTCTATTTCTCTCTCTATCCCCCTCTCGCTCGCTCGACCATTGTTTTTTGGATCGTAGCTGGCTTGAAACGATTTTGTTGCAGGAGCGCGTGGCCGAATAAAGCCGTCCGCCCCCGCAGCGCTGCCGCGCGCTCGCCGCCGTAGCCCGCTGTGGAACTGGAGGGGGGGGGGGCGCCACTGATGCCCTCGGGTCCGCACCCAGCCGGACGCTGGGCCGCTGCGGCGGCGGGCGGCGAGACCAGGCCCAGGGCAGCAGCGCAGGCTGCAAGCAGCCATCCACCGCCACGGCGGCGCGCGGAAGGAAGGAGAGAGAGCGGGGGAGGGGGGGGCGGACAGGGAGGAGGACGCCCCGCCTGCGGAGAACCACAGGGCGGCGCCGGGCAGCAACGGCGGCGTCGGGCACCGCCGCGCGGCGGGGGAGGGCGCCCAGCGTGCGCCCAGCGGGGCGCCAGGAGGCCTCCAGCTGCCTGGGTGGGCAGGGTGAGCTGGCCGCAAGCAGGGGCCCGGCAAGGCTGGGTGGGGCGGCGAGAACGAGGTCGGCACCTAACCGGTGCAGAGGTGCAATGCGAAGTGTCGGTGAACAGGGCCCTTCTGCCCGGGTGGACAGGGCGAGCCAAAGAAGGGATAAAGGGGGCCACCGCCGACGAGGTAGACGGCAGCGAGCCCGCCTTGGCCGGCCAAAATTGTCGCAGAAGTCAGCGCCTCCAGCCCGCAGGGCGGAGCGGGGGGCGGGGAGGGGCACCGAGCGGGTGCGCGGCGGAAAGTGCGGGAGACGGCCCCCTCGCTCGGGTGGGCAAGGTGGGCCGCGTGGGGGGGGGGGGGGGGGGGCGCCGCCAGGAAGACGGCGGCGGGCGCGCATGGGAGGGCCAGCACTGCATCGGAAGCCAGCGCCCCCAGCTAAGGTGACAGGGGGGGGGGCGGGCGAATGTGCAGCGCCTAACCGGTGCACGTCGACGAAGAAGAAGGGGGGCTGTCCCCCAGTCCGGGTGGACAGGGCGGGCAGCGCGGGAGGGAACCAATGGCGACCACCGCGGTCTGGCTTGACAGCAGCGGGCGCGCCATGGCATGCAAAACTGTGGCCCTGGCCCACGCTTCCGGGACCAACAGGGCGCGCGGGCATGAGCCGGGCGCTGAGCAGAGCCGCGCGCCGCCAGTGGGGGCGCGCGGCAGGAGCTGCTGTAGGCTCAGAAGAGGACCAGGATAGCAGGAGCTGGACGTGGGCTGGCGGTGGCGTGGTGCCCCCAGGGTCGGCCCGGGGTATGCCCGGGGTGAGCGCTGGGCGTGTTGGGCGGACGCTGTGGTGGCGGGGTTTGGGAGCTGTGGGTGGGCTGGGTGCGAGAAGCGCTCCTGCGGTGGTCTGGAGGGGATACTTCTGTCCGTATGGGGCCTCCAGCGTGCCGTGGGTGGCGGGTCCCGCTCTCCGACGATCCGGGAAGCGCGTTAGGGGTACGGCGTGTTGCTATTAGGAAGGCACTGCCTGGTCTGCCCGTTGTTGGGCCAGGCAGGGTCGGCGCGCCGCTAGCCTTTCCCTGTTGGGTCCTGGCCCTTGCCTTTGCCCTTGCCCTTGCCCTTGTCGGAGCGCATCTGCTGGATCCTTCGAACGTGCTTGTCCCAAGCGGCGTGCCAGTCGATGCGTATGCCCCGTTTCCTGCACAGCTGGTGGATGTCGAAGTTCTCCTCGCGCAGCTGGCACACGACCTCCTCGCAGAAGTGGTCCTGCCCGAAGGGGTTGTACGTTGCTCCTGGCTGCCTTTCCCGCTGGTCGCGGAGTGCGTTCCAACCGATGACGCACATGGGTCCGTTCTTCAGGGAAACAGACAACCTCCTGGAGGACACGTGACCCACGCCGAGTCCTTTCTGCGGGGCGCAGCGAAGAATGCCACGACCGTAACCAGCTCGCGAACCATTCTTATCCGGAGAGACGCTAGATGTGAAGATCCCGCGTCATTGACGCGACTTCTAGGAGACAGGTGCCGGTGCGCAAGATGGGCAGAATATGGAAGGACCGCGCGACGTTGCCAACCTCGAGGAGCGGGGGAAGAAGGAGGGCCGCCCCCCTTCCTGCCCCCTGTTGACTGGGACCAGCACTCACCGAACGGCATTTTCAGCCTCACGGGCAGCAGCACAGGCGAGGATAGCAGCACCAGCATCACCCTCTCGATTGGGATTTCCACGCTGGCAAACATGCGGGGGAGTAGCGCAACCGTGCCCACAGCAGCACCCGTCCCAGCTCACCGAACAACGCGTTAGAGACCGGTGCTCGCAGCAAATCCAGCATGACGGAGAGCAGCAACACCTCTTTTGCACAGTCCTGTTTCACTTGTGCTGAGTGGAGTTGTCATTTGTTTTGTTTGTCATCTGACCCAGAGCCCACACTCGCTTCGCCTCGAGCCCAGCATGCACGCTCCGCGCAGGCTGCCCGTCTCTGCGCCTCCCCGTCTGGGACAGCCGCTGGGCCAGCCTTAGCCTTCGACTTGTGCAACCTATGTCGCGCAATCAATGTGGTGCAGTCAGTCTATCTTGCTCGGTATATGTGGTGCCATGTCTGTTGCGCAATCTTTGTGGTGCAGTCTAAGTTGTTCGATCTACTTTGTGCAATCTATGTTGTGCAATCAATGCGGTGCAATATTTGTTACGCAATCTAGGCGGCGACGGGGCGGCGACGGCGACAGCAAAGCCGCCAGACTGACGGTCAGGCCCAGACGACGGGTGGCGACGAGGTGGCGACGGGGCGGCGACGGCGACAGCATAGCCGCCAGACTGGCGGTCAGGCCCAGACGACGGGCGGCGACGGGACGGTGACGCCGACAACATAGCCGCCAGACTGGCGGTCAGGCCCAGTTCCTTGGAACAGTCGTAAGAACCCCTGGGTGCAAGCATTGCTGGGGATATATGTCAGCCAGCGTGGACCTCAAACAAAGATTTCCTACAATACATGCGGCGCAATCTGGCTTTTGCAATCAATGTGGTGCAGTCTAGGTAGTGCAACCCATGTGGAGCAATCGATGTTGTGTAAAGCTATACACAGCAATGCAAATACATTATATTCGGTACAAAGCAATGCGAAGCATTGCAAAGCAATACAAAGCAACGCGTATCAATGATGCACAGCTGTGCTATTCGACGCAACGCAGTGCAACGCAATGCCAATCAACGCAACGCAATGCACAGCAACGCGCAGCAATGACCAGCAATGCACAGCACTGCTCGTCAACGCAACGTAACAAAAACCATGCAAAGCCATTCAAAGCAATCCAAGCCATTCAAAGCGAAGAAAGCAACGCAGAGCAATGCAAAGCAAAGCCGTCCAAAGCAGTGCAGAGCACTGCAAAGCAATGCAAAGCAATGCACATTGCGAGCCTCGCACAGTCGATATCGTGGCGTAAGGCGTTGGCGACGGGCGGCGGCGGGCGGCCACGAGCCGGCCGGACCGACAACCAGGTCCAGTGCAAGCATTGATCGGGATACACGTGAACATTATGGGGGGCACAGATCAGCGACGAGAGCGGCGCAAGAGGGCCCAAGACGCCCCAAAGATGGCCTCAAGACGGTCCAAGAGGCCCCCGAGAGACACGAAGAAGGCCCCAAGATGCTCCCCAAGAGCGCCCACAGATGGCCCAAATTCCAGCATTCCCGAAGGAAAACATGAATATTTAGCAGATTCGCTTTTTGAATCTTCACGGCGTCCAGGGCGGCCCCAGAGGCCCCCAAGATCTCCCCAGGGCCCCAAGACGGCCCCAGAGAGCCCCAAGACTGTCCAAGAGCTGCCCAAGATGGCCACAGATGACCCCAAGAGAGGCTCAAGAGGGAGAGCCCGAACTCCGTAGCAATTCTGGCTCAAGGCCATGTGTCAAGTCGATGGCTTGAGGTCATCGACCGTCCCTGCACGCGCCCTGTGAGGGTCTGAGTGGTTGTGGGCCCTCATGGCAGCCTCGCCCGGCGAGGGGTGCAGAGGGCCACCGCGTCGTGGCAAGCCTTGGCTTCGCTGCTCGTGGGCGCGCTTCGAGAACGGCATCGATCGGCTCACGCTGAGGTTCCAGGACCCGATGCAGGAGGAGGGCTACGCGAACACCCACAAGGAGAAGCTGTCCCACTACGTGGCGGTGACGATGGTCTCCCTAATCGTTGTCAGCCTCCTGACTGTCCTTGCCCACAGATTCTGGGACGACGCCCAGTATCCCACGAAGGAGGCGGTGGAGCTCAGCAGGTGGCAGGCCTTCTTCATCATCGGCAGCGTCGTGTGTTTAAACATTGCCCTCGGCACTGGAAGACTGCTTGCCAGGTACAACATTGTTGGCACACTGGGCTTGGAGATCATCGTGGTGTCTGCAAACACGTGTCTCATGATAGTGCTTGGAATCATCCCGAAGCACTACATGGCGCGAGTGTTCGGATATCGAGACACTGAGGCCATATGGGGCGTTGATTTGGCTCCCACCGATGGGAATTTGGTGTTGTACATCGACATGGTCGTCACTTGTCTGCACTGTTTGTTGCCCATCCGTTGGGTGGTGCTCGTCCCCCTGGAGCTTCTCGCCATCCTGGCCTACGCCGCGCCCGCGCTGCTGCTCGGCAGCCCCGCCATGAACATGGTCCTCTTCAACATCGTGGGGCTCTTGGCGCTCATCATGTTCTCGGCCATCGGGAAGCGGGCCTTCGAGAGGCAGGAGCGCGCGCTGTTCGCGGGGCTCCTGTCGGAGAAGCAGATGCGCTTCCAGGCTGAGTTCGAGCTGTCCAAGGTGGACAGCCGCGATGCCGCGAAGCCCGAGGACCTCGGCTCCGAGGTCTCCGCTCCGATATCGCGCCCAGGAACGACCATGAGCGCGGCCGCCTTCGACGGCGGCGTAGAGCACGCGTCACTGGATCTGATCCGCGCCATCGGTGAGCGGGAGCAGTGGCTCATTGCAGGTGGCGAAGTGGAGCTCTTGCCCGATAGGGTCCTCGGTGAGGGTGGCTTTGGCATCGTGGCGCTGGGCGTCTACCACAATACCCTTGTGGCGGTGAAGGCGCCGAAGGAGAACATCGCCAGCACGGGCTTCTCGAATTCATCCCTGCCCGCGCTCTGCAACGAGCTGAGGATTCTTCGCCGCATCCGTCACCCCAACATCGCATTCTTGTACGGGGCATGCATGGACATTGCCTTGAGCAAGCTGTGCTTGGTGCTCGAGTTTGTGGACGGTGTGCCCCTCCGAGCCTTCGTCCACGGCCTGTCCCCGGGCGCCGAGAGGGCCGCGAGTGCGAGCCCCGGAGTTTCGGATGTGGATTCGGCCAGCAGCGCTGCCACCAAGACTTCCATCATCTTCGACGTGCTGAACGTGCTGCGCTACCTACACTCGAGGGAGCCCGTCGTCGTCCACGGCGACCTGAAGGACTCCAACGTCATCGTGGAGGAGCGGCGCAGCCGGAGCGGGCGGAGCTCCTACCACGCCAAGCTGCTCGACTTCGGCCTCTCGCGCATCGTCACCCGCAGGGCCACGCCCCTGGGCGGCACGCTGCGGTGGATGGCCCCAGAGCTGCTCTCGCGCAAGCCCGTCCCCCCCGACGTGGCCGCCGACTGCTACTCCCTCGGACTGCTGACCTACTACATCGTGACGGCGCGCTTCCCCTTCGAGGGCCGGCGCGCCGAGGAGGTCCTGCGGCGCCTCCGGCGCGGCCAGCCGCCCCGCCTGGCCTGGCCCGCGCCCGCCGACGACCTCGCGCAGGCCTGCCGCCCCCTGGTGGAGCAGTGCACCCAGCCGAAGCCCGCGCTGCGGCCCGCGGCCCAGCAGGTCAGCGACGAGCTGTCCACGCTGCTGGACTCCGCCGCCCACCAAGCCACCCCAGCCCAGCCCGAGGGCCCCGAGTTGCCCTCCATTTCCAGGGGGGGGGGGGCCGTACCCCCCCCAACCCGAAATCTGGGTCTTCGGGTTGGGTTGGGGTGGCTTGGTAGGCAGTCAGGACTGGGCCGTGGGCGGGGCCATGGAGGCAGTGGGGCAAGGGGCCTCGCCGGCGCCGTCCGCCGCGGGCTCCCCAGCCATCGAGGAGCCCCAGGAGTTCAAGGGCGTGCTGGAGCTGAGGCAGGCCGGCAGCTCCAGCGTCAGCTTGCTCGGGTCCGGCGCGGGCTTCCGCAGCCTGCCCTCGGTGCAGGAGCAGGAGGTGCTGTCGGGAGAGGCCCCGGGCGGCGGCGCCGCGGCGCGGACGGCAGCCGGGAGCGCGCCTGGGGAGCCGCTGGCCCACCCGGACTACCAGCCGACGCCGCTGAGCACGCAGACCCTCACGCTGGCTTACCTGATGATGCAGTGGAACGTCCCGAAGCCGGCGGGCGCTTGCTGCTGGCTGCACGGCTCCCTGCGCTCTCTGGACAGGGTGCGGAGGAAGCTCGGCCGCAGGGCCTGCAGCGGGCAGCAGGAGGCCATGCTCTGCGGCCAGTGCGGCACCTGCGGGTTGCTGCTTATGGACCAGTCCTCTTGCGATTTCTGCGATTGCCCAGGCGCCTCGGGCTCGGCTTCGGCCGCTGCAGGCGGCCCCGCGGACTCAGAAGGTGAAGCATCGATCTGAGCGGGCACGTCGGAGGGGGGGAAGGAGGAGATGAAAGAGGAGCTCGGTGGATGGGATTTCCGCTCGCCCAGAGGGAGCGCTCGATGTCCAGGCCGGCCCCCTAACGGAGGCTGCCAGCGCGTCGCGCACCTTGTGACGCCCATGGGAACGGCGTGGTGGTGGGGTGAGTGGTGGAGGGTGAGGACCAGCGATGGAGCATGTTGCTCGTGAGTGCGGTGACGTAGCATTTCGCCTTCGCTCTGTCACGGCACGTGACCCGGGGGCCTGCGAGCGTTTTGATACGTTTGGCACGCCTTCAGTCCTAGCAAGCGCCGCTGCTGTCTGGAGCCTCCAGCACCAGGAAAATCTGGGAAAAGCATCTGCCCGAGCTGATTCGCGAACCCCCTCCTTTCCCCCCCTTTCGTCCCACCCTAATCCCATACGTTCCCAGCGCGCCTGCCAAGTTCTTCGCCCAACACGCTGGCCGCTACTGCCGCGCTTTCGTTCGCTCTTGAATTCCCCAGTGACTCTCTTTGAATCCGTCTTCCTCGGTGTGCTTCCTGGCTGCCAGGTGGAAGACAGCTCTGCTAAACTTTTGTTGACCGCGCCGACTTGTCAGCAACGCGCGCGTGCTGCCGATCTTGGGGTGGAATCCCTCACCTCATGTAGGGCTTGGCAGGTCCCTGGCGACAGTAAGTATGATTTACTGCCCAGCGGCCGAAAGAGCTGACCCAGTGTCCGGGAGCAAGGCGTGAGGTCCTCCCGCCTTGCTTCTGCTTGCCATTGCAGGCGCGCCGCACACGTATATATCGCAAGACGCAACGACGTACACACAACACGGAGCAGCAGCCCGCACTCACACTTCGAGCCGAGCCCCCCGCCCGCGGCGGTGGAGACCCCGAGGCCGTCGGCGGGCCCGAAGAGGCCCCCCAAAGAGGCCCCCCGAAGAGGCCCCAAGAGGTCCCAGGGGTGGGAGGAGGAGGGGGAGGGGGAGGAGGAGGAGGAGGAGGAGGAGGAGGAGTAGGAGGAGGAGGAGGAGGAGGAGGAGGAGGAGGAGGAGGAGGAGGAGGAGGAGGAGGAGGGAGGAGGGGGGAGGGGGGGGGGGAGGACGGGGGAAGGGGAGGAGGAGGGGGATGGAGAAGGAGGGGGGGGAGGAGGAGAGGGGCCCACACGGCCCCCAGGAGGCCCCGAGAAGCGTCGAGACTCGCTTCATGAGGCGCCCGAGAATCACGCCAAGCGACCCCGCATTGCCGATATCCAAGACGCCGCTGGCCCCAAGCTCAGGCACGGTGGCCGTATGGGCCGAAGGCCATAGATCCGCCGCCCCCTGTGGCTTGCCACAGGGGTGCACGGCGTGCCAAGTGTCCGCCAGGCTCTCGGTTCTGTCCTGAAGGGCTCCCCGTGGGGCTTCGGCTCAGCCCGCCGGCCACCCAGAACATGCACCTCTCGCCGCTTTTTGTTCGCTCAAGGTGGTTCCAAGATGGCCTCTAAGACGGCCAAGGTGGCCCCCCCCAGACGGCCAAGATGGCCCCAAGAGGGCCCGAGATGGCCGACAAATGTGGCCAAGACGGCCCAATATTCACTCACGACGGCCTATGATGGCCTCAAAATGGCCCAAGACGGCCCAAGAAGCTCCCAAGAGGCCTCCAAGACGGCCCAGGAGGCCTCCAAGAGGATCCATAGGAAGAGCCGAAGAGGGCGAACTGATTGATGTTCCTTAGGTTTTTGAAGGATGTTTGCTTTCGCGCTTTTTCGGCTTTCCGACGGTTCCAGGCGGTCCGACAGATCCCCACGATCACTCCAAGATCGCCGCAGAGGACTCCAAGATGGCCCCATGACGGCCCAAGAAACCCCCACGACGGCCTCAAGATGGTCCCAGATGGTTCCCAAGACGGTCAACATGGCCCCAAGAGGACCCAAGATGGTCGCAACATGTTTCCACAACGGCCCGAGATGTTCGCACGACGGGCTAAGATGGCCTAGGACGGTCCAAGAGGACCCAAAATGGCCCCCAAAGGGTCCAAGAGGGCCCCAAGGGGGCCCAAGAGGCTTCCAATCTGCCAAATTCATGGTTTCCCCATCAAGTGTTGGAACGATTCTGGTATTCGCTGCTGTTTGGCTTTCCGACGACCCAAGACGGCCTGACAGGTCTCCAAGATCGACCAAAGATCCCCGAAGAGCTCCCAAGATGGCCCAATAATGGCCAAGCCCGAGGGCCCACAGACGGCCCAAGACGCTCAAGATGGCCCACACGACGTCCAATGCTGTCCCAAGAGAGCCCAAGATGGTTGCAAGATGTTTCCAAGACGGCCCCTGCTGCAGCCAAGACGGCCTACTATGAATGCAAGATGGCCCAGGACAGCCCAAACGGCCCCAAGAGTCCTCCAAGAGTTCTTTCAAGAAGGTTCCGACGAGGGTAAAATCAGTGCTTTCCCGAATGTGGTTGCAGGATTTGGGCGTTTGCTCGTTTTCTGTTTTCAGACTGCCCAGGATGGCCGCAGAGGCCATCATGATGGTCCCGAGAGCGCCCCAGAAGCCTCCGTCATGGCTACCTGCCGGCCCGAGCCCCCCCCCCCCAGACGGCCCCAGGAGGGCCCCAAGGCGGCCGAGAACACTTCCAAGACGCCCAAGATAGCCTGCAATACATACGGCCCTGTGGCGCTCCTGGAGAGCCCCAGGTCGGCCCAGAAAAGCTCCCAGGATGGCCTCCGACGGCGTCAGGCGGGCCAGGAAAGCATTCAGGCGGCCAAAGGTCCCCCCCCCCAGGGAGCCCCCAAAGGCCCCCCAAAGGCACAATGAAGCCTCCACGAGGCCTACAAGAGGCACCCCAGTAAGCTCACAGGAGGTTCACAGAGTTCCCCAAGAGGCTCCCAAGAGGTCTCTCCTCCTCCTCCTCCTCCTCCTCCTCCTCCTCCTCTTCCTTCTCCTTTGTCCGTCCCTCTCAAGACATGAGGGGTGTGCTTCTTCCAGGGGCGCTGCCACAGCGAACCCCCTTAATCCAAATGTCGGCACGCTGTCTGCGCATCGCGCCCTCTGCCACACCAATGCCGCTCCTCTCAGAGGCACCGTCCTACGAATACAGTTTGATTTCAATGCTTCTGGCCCTGGACACGGGCGCCGCCTCCACGAGGTCAGCGGTGACGTGCGCACCCTGCCGTTGCAGTGTATGGCGGCTTATCGCCGCTGTACCACCGCTATCTCTTGGGACCGCACCAGGCAAGCGACTGTTCCTTGGCTGAGTATTGCGCTAGAAAAATCAATTTTCTCCCCCCGTGTTCCTCGAAGGATTTCCACACCGGGTGGGGTAACACATAGTCTGGTACCTTGCCGAGCTCTGGCCGCAACGTTCGGCCACATATGCGTTCCAACAGGCAAAGTTGTGGAGTAGTCCATGGCGCTATGCGCACAAAGGCGCAGAAAGTGGTTCGAAGTTCTGTCGGTCCTCTCCCTTTTACCCTGCTCTTCGTCTGTCCCTCACCGGGCCAGCTTTCGAGGCTGTTACGCGTTCATTGTGGTTGCTTGCTTCTCATTGTGCTTCGGCGTGAAAGATTGACTGCTTAGTCGACTGGAGCAAGAGAGAGCACAAGACGTGGTATTCGACGTTCGCCTGAGGAGCGCTTCGCCTCAGGGTCACGTTTCTCTGACCCTTTGTTCGTCATGTTGAAATTGTGTTGAGATTTTTACAGTGGAAACAAGACCCTTTATTGGAAAGGAGGAAGGCGGAAGGGGGAAGAGGGAGGAGGAAGAGGGGAAGTGGGAGGAGACGTAGCGGGTGCGTGGAGGAGACGGAACAAAGGGGAGCGACGAACATGAGGAGGAATTGGAGGAGGTCCGTAGCCATTTTGGTTCAAGGCTAAACGGGTGGAGCTAAAGTAACATAACGAATCCGGATTAGCTTCGGGAATCCCACAGCTGGATCAGGCCTCCTGGCGACAGAGCCTCGGCGCAATGTCCCATTATTTTTGTGCGGTGTGGCCCTGCATCTCCCTCTGTCTATCTCTTTGGTCACTCCTCGCGTATGGCTGGGGCCACACCTCTGCTAGCGAAGGACATGATCGGTGGCGCTGTCAGGTGCCGCCTCTGCAGGAGATCTTGGTGGATCAGGCTCGCCAAACCGATTCGACAAGAAACAACAGGATATGTGCGTCCAGCAGCCTACAATGCCAGCGGTTGCTCTCAAGAGGGCTACGCGGACCAGGTGCAGTCCGACCTCCCGTCCGAGATCCAGAACATCACGAACCAGGTCAACACGACGCTGGCTGAAGTTGGAAGGGAAGTCTCTGCAATATGTATGGGTCTCGCAGCTACCATCGACGCGAATATCACACCGATTCAACATCAGGCCGGTACCCACAACAAGAAAATCGAGAGGTTCGAGCAGGATTGCTAGCGGTTTCGTGACATCCTCCACGAGGTGAAGAGTAGCGTGCTTGCGTTTGTTCTTCTACGTTCGTCTGGAGGTGGTGCAGGATTTGATCGTTACGTCGACCCGTGCATCGGGGTGGTGAGGGGTAAGTTCCAGACGGCCAAGGACCAGATCAGTTCCTCCGTCGCGCCGTGGTGTCAAGAAGGTGAGATACCGGATAATGAATGGTCGATAGAGGGCGGACCTACCAGCCAGAGGTTGTCAATCCGACCCAGCGGTGCAACAGGCTTCGCGAGTCGGCGTGTGCAGCATCTTCTCTCCCTTCGTCGTCCCAGTGCTCCGAACGGGGAATGGCGACGCTTTGTCGCCAACGTGATCGGCGGCGAGGTCGCGGAGAAATGCGTGGGCCACGACAAGAACTAAGCCATGGTGCAGAACGAGATGTCGTCCAAGACCATCAATCGCATCCTGGCCAACGCCTACCCGAATCATGTCTTCTACGTGGACAAGCTCAAAGGATCGGTCAGCTCGAACTAGAAGCCGCTGGTGCACCTCGTACCGAAGGCAGACCAAGACATGCCGACGGTCATGTTTGCGGAGCAGAACCTGCGCGCGGAGAACATCGAGCGCAGCCGCATCGAGCGAGCCCTTAATC